AAAATTCAATTTTCACCTCAAGGCTCATTCTGGTTCTCAGACAGTGCCAACAGAAAATTCAGGAAGTGACTTCAGGTTCCAGAGTTGGTTAGTAGCTAAACCAGAACTAGAGTGCTCTGCGAACCACCACATCTGCAGTGTTCAAGCATCAATTTGTTCTATGATGCGGTGTTTCTCTGTACATACAAGACTAATTGTCAGATTTAATAGCACAGTATCTCTATGAAGGGTAGTGATATAAGAGAGAAACAATTTGGTTAGCAAATATTTGGACTTGGTCTTACATAAAATCTAAAACAAATTCTGAGTTGAATTTTTCCCCCTTTACAACATTTATGTGTGTAGAAGAGTTCTTTAGAAAAACCTATTTCTGTGGTGCATCATCTGGAGTGCACTGGACACCTCCTGCAGGTAGAAGAGTTTACTCAGCTCTCACCGGGGTGGCTGGCCTGTCTGGAGCCACCAGGCCATCAGGCAGGATCTAAGACATTTCGCACTCACGTGCTGTGGAAAGTGCATAACTGGGGCAAGCTTTTTGTAATGAACAGCAAACTAAGTATCTTTAACCATACCGTGTTGTTCTAGTACACTGAGACAGACCATTTTCAGGGGTTTTATTTTATTGGTAGCCTGAAATCCCCTCTAGTGGGAATAGCCACACCACAAAAATTAGCAGGTTCTACAAATCAAAGCTTTATTTCTAACAGTCCTGTTGTTAAATAGTTCCTAACACACTACAGCTGTAAGATATCCAAACATTAAACCTAAAAACTCTAAGAAACAACCAGAAAAAGCTGGGGATAGAGGTGCATACCTGTAGTTTCAGCATTCACAAGGCTGAGGCAAGAGGATCGCTGTGAGTTTGAGGTCAGTGTGGGCTACATAGTGAGTTCAAGGCCAGCTTAAAATTACGTAGGGAGATTCTGTCTCAAAAAAAATTTTTAAAATCATAGAAAAAGAAACAACCAGAGAAGCAAACAAATATTTGTATATAATAAATTTCTTTGTTAAAAACAATGTTGGAAATAACCTACATATCCCAAAAGAAGCACACTGAGTGAAATTCTATGTACTCACTAAAATTGTATTTTTGTTTTTTAAAATATTTTGTTTCAAGTGCATTATCTTTAAAAATTATGACATTTTAAATAAAATATAAATTATGCACCCTTTGTTTTATAACATACTCCTCCTGAAATAACACACTAGTCAAATATTTCTGAGAATTATTTAAAAATATAAATTGAGCTCATAGCCTAACAACAAATACTTATTAGCTGTCCACTATGTATGTCCCAGTGCATGATAGCTATGCTCTCTCCACTGAGATAGTCTCACAGTACTAATCTCTGAACCGGCCACAGTAATTTATAGTTCTAAAATCAATGGGCTCTATTTTAGTTTTTAAATTATCATTATTAATTCATAATAATTATGCAGGTTAATAGGTTTCTCTACAGCATTTCCATAAATGCACAGATAGTACTTGCGTCCACCCTCCCTGACACTCTCTTGGCCTCTTTCTCCTCCCTTCCAAAGGTCTCCTCCTTCCCTGTTAGTCTCTCTGATACTTAGAGGCTGTCGATTTTTTTGTTTGTTTATTTGGGTTTTTGGGGTGTTGGTTTTCTACACATGAGAGAAAACACATGATATGTGTCTTTTTGTGCCCAGCTTATTTCATTTAACATGATGAACTCCAGTTTCATCCATTTTCCTGCAAGTGACATGATTTTCTTCTGTTTTTTAAAATTTTTTTTATATTTTAAAGAGAATTTAAAAAAACAAAAATGATACAGAGTTTCAAAACAAGATAACAGAAATTTAACACTGATTATTATAGTGTGTATTTTTATCTCCAGAATAGTTGCTTGGATTATCAATATAGGCATGCAAAATTGATTTAAATATATAAGCACTAACTGTTCCTCTCAATGAACTAATAGAATTAGTGTACAATTATCTGAGCTATCATATATATATTTTCCCTTCCTTCCTTTCTTCTTTCCCCCACCCCAATTATTCTTTCTTTTTGATCAGTTTCCTTCCCTTTCACATATAAGGATATCAGGTCCCTAAAATTCAAAGACCCAGCGCCTGAGATGAATATGTATTTCTCAGATGAAGAAATACAAATGGAAAACAAATATATGAAAACATGTTCAACATCATTGGTCATTCAAGATTTTCTTCTTTTTTCTGGCTAATACTCTGTAGTGTATACCATATTTTCTTTATCCTTTCATATTTTCTTTATCCTTTCATTTCTTGGTAGGTTAATTATATAACTTGACAATTGTGAATATTGAGTATGAAATATCTTTTCATATGCTGATTTCATTTCCTTCAGGCATATTCCCAGCAGAGGTATAACTGGATGATATGGTAGGTCTAGTTTGAGCTTTTTGAGGAACCTCTCTACTGTTTTCCATAGTGGCTATACTAATTTACATTTCTACCAACTGTGTATAAAGGTTCCTTTTTCTCCACATCCTCATCAGCACTGTTTTGTTTTTAACAATCATTTTGATTAGGGTGAGTTGGAACCTCAATGTAAGGTGGTTTTGATTTTGTTTTTGGATTTTTTTTTTTTTTTTTGTCTTTTTTAACACAGGGTTTCACTAAATAGTTCAGGCTGGCCTTGAACTTACTGTGTAGCCCACACTGACCTTGAACTCACAGTAATCCTCCTGCCTCAACTTTCCAAGTGCTGGAATTACAGGCATGCACCACCATGCTTGGCTTTAATGTAGTTTTGATTTACATTTCACTGAGGGCTAAAGATGTTGAGCATTTTTAATTTTTCATGTATTTGTTGGTCATTAAATTTATTCTTTAGAGAAGTGTCTTTCCAGAATTTAAACCCATTTATTGATTGGATTCCTTGTTCTTTGTTGTATTCTGAATTATTTACATATTTTTCAGTTTGTCCTCTGTTAGACAAATAGCTGGTAGAAAGTCCCTCCCATTTTGTAGGATGTTGCTTCACTTTCTTGTTTCTTTACAGGGCAAAAGCTTTTTAATTTGATTCCTCATTTATCAAGTCTTGCTTTTATATCCTGAGTTGAGTCCTACTCGGGAAATCTTTATGCCAGTATCTTGAAGTGTTTCCCCTATGTAAACATCTTACTTTTAAATTGGTTTTATAATGTGAAAATTATTCAGGATATAAGGAGATGTCTGAACATAAAATTCCACATATATTATACAAGGAATTTTGTGAGCAAACAATGTTGATAGGGAGACAAATTTTAAAATACTGAATAGTATCTGTGGTATCTTTGAACGATGAGTTAATGGGTATTATTTTTCTTTACATTTGTGTATTTTCCAAATATAGCAAACATGCATTGCATTTGTCATGCAGTGAGGGGGAGAGACAGACAGATACAGAGAGAGAGACTGAGAGAGAGGGAGAGAGAAACAAGTCAAAAAGCCTGAAACACTTGTTCTGCTCACCATTACATGTACAGTACCAGACTGACACTTAGCAATCAGAGTAAGTCCATCTCTGTATCTCAAGCACAACAGGACAGTGACTCTGGAAAGTTGGTTCTGTACATTAGCTTTCAGACCAGTGGATAGAATTGCACTTTTGACCTCAAATATATGAAAGCAGTGGATTAAGCACCTAATTCAATCGTTCCTAAACTTGCACAGGTAAGAGCCTCATATTTTCATCCCAAATGGAATGGCACTCTGGGCCTCACCTTCCACCATGCCTGTCCACAGCAGGTGTGACTTATCTGGTTGCAGAGTTAGAAAGCTCTCCTGGAGACAGCCTAACCAAAGGACATGGATAGTCTGGTCTGTTCTTAGCTACTCACAGCTGACCAGCGGTGCCAGTGACTATAGCTAAGGGCCGATTTCACTGGTGAAAAGGGAAAACCCAATTGGGCATAGACCTAACCCACATTCTCCATCAGCTTTATTTGTAAGCAAGACAGTCTAACCGCCTCACTCTCTAACATCTGTTAATCATCCCAAATTTGTAAGGATAAGACAGAGAAGTTGGTTACTCGCCTCCTGTAAACCCTAACACTAATCCTCAGTGTTTAGGTGGAATGGAAACTGCTGAGGAAAAGGGTCATATCTTATACTCCCATCCTCCAAACCGTAGCACTTAGTGTAGATGTTTACATGCACTTATGCACAGGGCTCCATTCAGGATGGGCTGTGGAGGGCAGGAAGAAAGTGGTCAAAGAAAAAGACACAGACCAGAATCTCTACCTGTTTCCTGCTGAATTCAGTGAGAATAAGATCCTCCTCAGACAGATTTGGCTTATCATTCCCATTTTCAGCTTAATGGATGGCACAGCATTTGTGGCTTAAATAATTGATAGTGATCAATGGGAACTAACACAAGGTGAAATGGGGTCTCATCTGAGGACAAATCCTCAGTAATGACAGGCAGGGGAGAGGTATGGCCATCAGTTCTTAATTACATTCTGTCTTCCTGGCTGTCTCCTGCTTTCTCTTTCTCTCCCTCCTCTAACACATATTTCAAACAAAGTGAAAATGTTAAATTGAGGGAGATCTCTTAGTACTCACTCTAACTTTCAGTTGCCTTGGGTAGAGCCCCAAATCCAACTCACTCCTGAAAGTCATAAGCCATTTCTTTCTTCCCATCAATTCACACCAATTAGACCCCTTCTAGGTAGAGAAATAATTTGCTTAACTGCATAAGAAAATGGCCACTTCAAGCCCTTTAAGAATTTTGGTTCTCAATTACCCAGCCTTACTTCTTCTGTGAAGTGATAATTAGAGTCTAGATGGTAACTGGATTACCAAGGACATCTCTCCCGACAGTCGTTTAACACCTAATCAAGTGTTAAGGTCGTAAATTATGCATTTCTCAACAGCATTCAGACCCATTTGAAAACAATTTGAAACAGTTCAAGAGTTCCTGATGGTCTTCAGTTTTACAGGGCCGTGAAGGGTCCTGCTTACAGGAATTACCCGCTTAAAAGAATTACCCGGTTAAAGGAATCACCCACTCAAAGTAGAAGGCTCTCTCAGCTTTTTAATTGGCTACAGATCATTATTTTTTAAAGCGACAATTGGAAACCTCCCACCACCTGACAGAGACTGGACTGTTTCCCAAGGTGTCACTGCACCTCCCCAGGGAGCTCGGATAACAAGATTCTTAAGAAAATATAAAAGTGGGGGGGGAGAAAGACCTTTGACTTTTTTTTTCTGATGACATGTTCAAAACTAGATCTGAAAAACTAAAAGTTCAGTAGTAAAAACTATAGACTATGTTTCTCATTTCTGGTCCAGAGGGTGAAAGTGCTGGGGTGAGGTAGACCGAGAGGGCTGAAGCCTTCCTCCTGGAAAGATCTGTTAGACAGGTGGAGGAAAGGAAGCCAAGGGTTGAGGTGCTGTGGGGAAGCTCTGATGGCACCGTCCCTCTGAGAACTGTTACATCGCCACTCTCACCACCATCAAACTCATGTCTCCAGTGCCAGTGACCTGAGCAAAAGTGTCAGTTTACAATAGAATTTCCCCCTCAGTTGTCCTCCAGGTCCAGTCTTCCCTTCCACTCCTGTGCAGAAAAGCAGCTGTCTTCAAAGACAGCGTATGCATTAATAGTATGCCTTTTATTCCCCTTAATACTAATGGCCACACTTGTTTCAAACCTATTTAAGAGTGTTTCCATGCTTGATCTTCCTCTTGTAAGGAAAAAGGGTGTAATTGGAAGCATAGATTATTCCATGTAACTGTACCAAGGTAAGGATCCATTTTCAGTCCAGCTCAACTCACTTAGTGTATTTGTATCCTTAATTTGATCTGAAGAGTCTTGATCCCCCAAAAAGATTTTTTGTTTTTGTCTTTTGAGACAGAGTCTCTGTATGCAGTTCAGGCTGGTCATGAGCTGACTTTGTAGGCCGGGCTGGTGTCAGACTTGCAAGGATCCTCCTGCCTGAGTTTCCCAAGTGCTGGGATTACAAATGTGTACCACCACAAGTGGCAAAAAAAAAAAAAAAAAAAAAAGTCTTCTTAGAGAATAGGCAGTCTGATATATATGATTTCTCCTCTCCTTCTTATGACAAGCATCTCAGTAATGTCCCACATATTAAAAAGATAAGGACCAGAAATGCAAAAGGAAGACAACCCCTCTTCCTTCTTTCTGCTGTACTTCAGTCACTGGAGCAACCCAAATTGTTGGTGGGGTTAATATATTGAGTCTCACCAATATCCTTTGTTTCAGTATACCACCTATAAGAAGATACACCAAAAAAAAAAAAGAGGAAAAAAGCAAAATTAGCGTTTTGTATATATGAAAGATCATTTTACTAGGGCCAATGTAAATATTGTCTTTCTTTCTAAATCCAAATATCTGGCTGATAGTTACACTACTAATTGCTATTGGACCATTGAAGAGAAAGATTTGTGCCTATATTGTTTGATCAGTCATTCATGTCTGTATCTTGTAATATTAGCAACTACTTGGAAGATAACAATATGGCAACGTACTAACCATTGTTACTCTCCTACAATCTTACTTTGAAATTCGGTTCCTTTGTCTGTTTTTAGATGGGATCTTGCTCTGCAGTTCAGGCTGGTCTCCAGCTCTCTCTGTACCCCAGGCTGGTCTCACACTTGCAATGATCCTCTTGTCTCAGTCTCCCAAGTGCTGTCTATCATTGCTTTTAGTTTTCCTTTAAAATAAGTAAATACATACATACATACATAAAAACAAAATTTCTGCGGCTGTCCAAACACCACTTGATGGCCTTTCCAGTGAGAGCCTGCTCATTCTGTGCTGTCTCCTCAAATACACACTCACACACCCATTTCCTATACGGTCTGTGAACAGGTGTGCACATTCTGGTCTTGGCTTTGCTTTCAATGTTCCTGTGCCCTCTGTTCTTTACAAAGGCCTGTTCATCTCTCAAGACCTAAATCAATTTTACCTCTTCTATAGACCTTCCTTCTGCAAATGATAAAAAAAATGAATTATTTACACTTGAGTTCACTCCTCATTCTTCAATTCCTTTGGTCCACTTTTATCATCGATTTTAATTGTGTTTCTCTTGGAAGATTGTAGATTTCTACATACTTGTATATCTAACACCTTGCCTGGAATAAATATATATTTTCTAGAAAAAATCAGTCTTTATGCCTTTATTTTATAATTTTCTCATCTGAACAACTATTTTAAAAGAGGTTTTGAAGCACATATAGGTGCATTTTTTATTTTATTCAGACCCAATTTTTAGCATTGAGTCTTGTGAGAAGCTGTTGTGTTAAAATTCAAATCTTGGCAGTATAATCAACTTTCTTCTTCCTTTCATCTTTCACAGGGAGTTAGTTGTGTGTGTTTAGATGTGTGTTACTTATAGTCCTGTTTGACAGGGGTCTCCTACTCTCTGTAATCTCCCGGGTGTGTTATGTAAACAAAAGTTCCCCCTTCTCATTGGAATATTGACAGAAATGAATCACTTGTGAAACAGGCTGGGGTGAAATCTCCCACATTTTGAAAGGCTTTCTTTTATCTGAATGCTGAAAAGTCAATGATAAATCATGATCATTACAGTAAGGCAGTTAAGCATAAAACTGTTGTCTCAAATAAAAGCAAGGAACCAGCTGATTTACAAATTAGCTACACACAGAGCAGCATCAAGTGCCACACTCAGATGGACACTTGTGCGAGCCCTCGCTGCTGTGTATTCGCATGTCAGGGGGACAGGCCAGGGCAGATGCCCGTTATCGAGGGGTTGAGGGCCCTCTACCCCGCTGGGAGATCTAAGTGCAGCATGGACACCTTCTCCAGCCCCCCATCTGTTCCCAGCTCCACACCTACACTTGTCACCTCTCATGAACGACCCAGTTTACAGATGTCCCTGCGCATAGGCACCCAAACTGGTGCTCATCCTCACCACCTTTCTCTGACGTCTCAACTCCCTAGGCTCAAAGATTCTGATTTCAAAAGCCTCTTTCTTTCTCCCTATTTCCTAAAAGTTACGTCATGTAACAACATAAATAATACCACGAAGCATCATTAACAAAGTAAGGAAGACTTTATGAGTGCTGAGAGATAAAAAATGAAGTGGAAATGGTCTCAGAGGGTCTCATGGAAGGTGAGACAGAGAAAAGCCAGGGTGAGGCCAAATAAAAATGTCTTTCTTGCTTTTTCTGGTTACCACAGAGTATTTTCTCAAAATATGGCCACCTCAACACCCTATGTTCCTGTCCTTTTCCGAAGATTCATTCTTTGCACTATGCTACATCCCCAGGGCTTTTCATTCACAGTGAGCATCTCCCTAAGTTGCTAAAGTGTCCAAGCTGGACTCAAATTTGCAATCCTCCTGGCTCAGCTCAGAGCTGAGATCATCCCAGAGTTCTAGGTAACAGGTGTGTGCCACCATGCCTGGCTTGCTTCATTCCTTTGGGCCCCTAGAAGGACACCTCCAGTGACCTTGTGGTTTGGAGGCCTGTGGCAGGGAAGGAAGGTGCCTTTATAAAAGGCAGAAAAGACAATGGGACACTTCACATGGTCTGCTCTGGAGATGGTGAGCCTGAGCCGCATTTGAGAAGGTGGATAGATGCCACTAAGATAAGATCTCACAGTGACAGTCACTGACCTAGACTCCAATATCTTCAGAGCCATGTGACAAGTCAAAGCTAAGTGCCAGTAAGTGTCACTAGACCCTTAACATGCTTTAACAGTGCCAAGTTTCTCTCTGGAACAAAGAGAGCAGATCGCAGACTCAGAGCTTAGCCAGGCTACCACATGGAATAGAAACTCAATACCACTGTTCTGTGACATATTTAATTTTCCAGTTACTTCTTATTTGTGGCAAGTTGCACTTTTAATTCATAATAGTCCCATGACTTTCTTTTTAGAGTAAATTATTTAAAGTAAAATAAAGTACATAATTATACAGACTTATATAATGTAGCAAAAATCAGAAAGAGAGCCTAACTTTGTTAAGCATCACTGTAATGACTAGAATATGAGACAGTAAGACTAGAGGACCTGGAATAGACATTCTGTATCTGCTCCTGTGACAGTCCAGTGTTCCTGGTAGGTGGAATAACCTCCCTGACCTCAGTTTTCTCATCTGTGAGATGGAAATAAAGATAGTACTGCCATGTCAGACTGGGATAGACCCAGAATAGCCAAACAGCAAGGATCAGTCTGAGTAAATCAATGGATTGTTGCTCACTGCAGTAAGAAGGTGTGGACATGCAGACCAAGGAATTCACTTGTCTGACATAGTGCTTGGACGCTATGCCACACGTGGGATTTGTGCATCCCCTTTGCCAAGGTTATAAAGGAAGCCAGTGCGGAGGGCGGAGCTATCCATGCCCAGGCATGGTGCAAGTATGGTCAGGAGAGAACAGCAAGATGGATCCAGGATGAAAGAGAAGCTGTGGAAATGAGATCCAGGCAGGCCACTCCAGACACACCGCAACCAGGACAGAATTTTATCTCTTCTAGATTTCCTTCCCCACTGCACCCCTTTCCTTTACTGCTCTAACCCTCATTGTTTTTCTTCCCTTCTCTTCTTTCTTTCCTTTTATCCTTTCTTCCTTGTTCACACAATGCCATTGCCCACTTACACTGTTAGGAGTTTTACCAGGTGTGGGGGAATATAGCATATGCCTCAAAATAGGTTTCTGGTCTTTTTGTTTTTTTCACATGAAATCTATTTTCATGTAAAAATAGCCACAGGATTTTTCAAAACTTATTTTTATTTAGAGTGTTTGACAAGGTCAGCTCTATCACATCTAACTCCATGTGTTTCACAAAGCTAAACATCTTCAAAATTGGGGCCATCTAAAGGGTTATCTTCAGAGAGAAATTCCAGAGATTTTTTTCACAAAAACTTGGGTGTCCAGTTTCTTTCAAAACTTGGAAGGTCTGGAATCATGGGCCAGTATCAGCTGGACCTGAGCAGGCAGGGTTTTCCTGTAGTTTCACACAGGCCCTGCCTTCTTATCACAGCCGGCATTGGCTTAGTCTCTTTACTTGAACAATTCTTGTCCTACACTCTGCTCACTTAATAATGTTACTTGCTGGTCCTCTGAAGTTCTTGAGTGTGCCCTCTGGAGATCACAGTCTTGCCACACATACAGAGAAAACAGCCTTTCAGATAGTGCTTATCTCTTTACTTGAAAACATGAGCCTGTGAGCTGTTGGTGGCATTGATAATTTGTGGCCCAAAAAAGATAGGGCAAAAAATTCTCTTTTAATTAACTCTGATTCTTCAAATATGACTTTTGCCATTTTTCTTTGTTACGGCCATCAGCATTTTCTACCCCCGCTGTTTCCTACTCTGGTTACCTCTCAGGTGCTGTACACCATCCCCTCCACCACTCCCCTCCCACACACATACACAGAGCATTTACCTACAAGGTAAACCTGTTGCCCTCCCAAGAGATAATAATACTTATCAGCGTGCTTGGTAGTTCCTGGACCTTTTGGGATTGAACCGTGCTTTGCACACCTAAAGCCCTCCATTAACACCACTATTGTCACTGTTATTATTATTCAGGATTAGGCAGCCCTCTCAGAAGTCTTGCCAACCACAGGCAGGTGCCACCTTAGAGCCTCACCTGGCCTGGCATGGTGACTCAGGCCGGACGCACCTGGCTATAGGACTCTGGTTTACTCTGCTATATCTGGGATTTTGCCAGAGCAGAAACCTGTTTTGAAACCTTCACTATTCTATTCTGCAGAGGCGGACGCTGGGGCTCAGGGATGGGGTACATGTTTTTCCTGCAGGATCTACTCTCTAGTACTTTTGGAATGTTTCTCTTTCTCGCCACAGAAATGAATGTTTAAGGTCCTTCCCTATATTTTCGTAACAATAAGGCAAAAGGAAGAGTTTCAAAGTACCATGAGATCTACGGTGGCACAAACTTATGTAACTTCTCTTTCAATAAAAAAGAAAATTCTAAGCACACATCACGGGAATACCATTGGTATAACAATGTGTTGTTTGGGAGAATGCGGGGTTAAAGGAACATGCCAGCATCTTGACCTAAAGATGTCCAAAAAATTAGCACTCTGCACCCGTGCTGTCACTTCCGAAATGGGAGGAGCTAGGAGTGTCCCATAACTCATCAGAGCTCTGCACATAGGAACTAGCTCTCAGTGGAAATCCCAGTCAGCTCCCCTCTCAGGCACAACAAATCCATACATTCTGAGAGACCTTAAAGATAGGAGAACCTTGAAGCCCATCTGGCAAACGAGCTGTAGACCCAAGAGAGATGTGTTGAAACTATACTAGAGAATTTTTCTATTCTTTAAATAGAGCAGTGCGATAGGAAGCCTTTGAGTGACTGAGGAAATGGGGCACTCCAATATCCCGGGACATTACTGCAGACTGCTTTCTAATCACAATATTATCAGACTTAAAAAGCGTGTACAAGTTCTGGACTAAAACACTCTAAGTGGCTTTGGGAACATGTAGTTCAAATCCAAGATAGCAGTTTTGTGATCTGAGTGCTTATACATCTCAACTCAAGTTGTCCCTTGGAAATTGCATGCAACTTAGCAGAAAAGATAAAGCAGGGAAAAAACAGAATACACTTCAGAATTAAATAACATTACAGGTATAAAGAATGTATCACAATGCTTAGCGTCTCCAAGGCACTCAGTAGGAGAGATCTGTTGTATGAAAGGATTTGGGGTTGAGATTGGAGTTGG